TCGCTGACGAGCGGGTCTCGCCAATCCTGGGACCAATCCTTCACCCTCTTTAATTAGATCGCTGGTGAGGTAGATACCTTCTAATAAATAAATATGGTAAATTAAAAGTGTTGTTTGGTATCATTTTTTTTATTTTGCTAATGATCGTTTCGATCATCCTCAGAGCTAATATTAGAATTACCGAAATAAAACTACATTAATACATGAATTATAAAAAATTAGGTTTAAATTATTACAATATATTATATACAAAATGTAGACATTGCATGGCAGATGCGTAACTGGGTCGTACATATCTTGCAGCTTCCGGCCCGAAAACATCTTCATCCTCGTTCTTGTACTCGTCAAGCCCCTTTTTAAAGCTTCTCATCTGCTACCTATGTAGCCGTCTCTGGTCCTAGACCTTCGTCTGTCTGTGGGTGACAGCCTCTGTGCCCTTTTTCCTGGCCGGTGCACATGCACTCCACTTCCGCCAAGCCCTTAATCCCAGACTGGCGATGCTGTTGCGCGCGCCCACAAGGACTTGCCTGTAGCCTGGTTCGTCCTTCGCCTCGTTTGCCACGGGTGAGCAACCAAGCGCGCCTCTTTTTGCGATGCCATGTTTCAGATTTTCTGTGCACGTGCGTTTGTCACATTTATTTTAAAGTATTATCTGTAAGGAATACCCATAAGTGAAATTTTAGTTAATATTATATCAGGAGATTAATTTTAAATAAATAAAGACTGAAAGTTTTCGCAAAGAATAAGAGGAAATGTTAACTACTATTTTTATATTGTAGAAAAATAGTGATAACCTTTTCTTTTATATAACAAATGATCATGTATGAACTGAACAATTTACAGAGATTATTCCACTCGTGAAATTAAAACCAATAGTGTGTAACTATATATACAAAATGCCCCAATCAGAGATGTGTATCTCCAAAAGTTTATCGCTTTTTCTATCCGATTGTTCTTGCCGCTTCTACCTACTGGCCAATCATAAACGGTGACTCATCTATCTTAGGATGCGATGTATTACATTTATCGCTGTTTCGCATGTGATTTTAAACGTAGCTTTTTAGTTATTTTCAGCATTTTGAAACTCTGTTGGACATAATTTCACTCTTGGAATTGTCCTATTAAATATCACTCATGCTTTGAAAATTCTCAGGTAAATTCCCGCCTCGTTTCGCAAGTCGGGAATTTATCGACAATTTTCAAAGCACTCGTGGTGTTAGCTGTGATAAACACAGTTGAACTTTTTTTTTTTAAATTTGAAGCAGATCATTATTAGTAGTGAGTTGCAAGAATTTTGTTTATACTTTTCTCACAATTTAATTACTAATTATTTAGTCCCATTTTTTCCTTATGAATGTGAAAAAGGTTGTCATTAATATTGTGATAAAATTATGGAACACAAACTTTTCACTGAGGTGTATAATGGAAAATATAGTTTTATAATTTCCCTAAGTACGAT